TTGGGGTTATGTTGGGGTTGTATTAGGGTTATGTTGGGGTTTTATTATATTGGGGCTGTATTCGGGTTATATTGGAGTTATATGAGGGTTATATTGGGTTATATTAGGTTATATTAGGGTTATATAGGGGTTATATATTGGGTCTATATTAGGGGTAAATGGGGTTATATGAGGGTTATATTGGGGTTATATTAGGGTTATATTAGGGTTATATAGGGGTTATATTGGGTCTATATTAGGGGTAAATGGGGTTATATGAGGGTTATATTGGGGTTATATTAGGGTTATATTAGGGTTATATAGGGGTTATATTCGGCTTATATTGGGGTTATATCGGGGCAAAATTCGGGTTATATTGGGGTTATATTGTGGTTATATTAGGGTTATATTGGGGTTATATTGGGGTTGTCTTACTTCTGGGTGTTAGTAGTCTCACTATTGTTAGTACTGCTGTTAGAATTCTTTTTTGGTTCTTACTACCTGAAGCTCACACCCCAAACACTGATCTTTCACTGTCATAGGGGTCAGTGAGTGTATTCGCAAGACCCCTTTTTCAAGTGCTTTCGCACAGTCAGCTGTTGGAATTGCTGGAGCCATTGGAAAAAGGCTTGCCAACAAACAATCTGAAGCCAAATCTGCGAAGCCTTACTGAACCTTGAAACCTCATGCTACTGTTGATGCTACAAATCCCGCATGACCTTAAAGTATTACAGTACTCCTGTCTCAAGGTATCAGATATTTGGGGGTCATGCAGGTGTTTTTAGTATTCCCCCTAAACCCTAAACCCTAAACACCCTAAACCCCCGTAGGTGTGGCTGGCCTCCTCCCCGCCGCTGATGCATGTGGTGGGGCCTTTGCTTGCGAAACCTGGCAGCTCGGAGCCGCAAAATCGCGTGGATGGAGAAATCTTGATCCTACATTATAGGGTTTACGATTTAGGGTTTAGGGTGTAGGGTTTAGGGACATTATAGTATTTTAGGGTATTTTATGGTATATTATGGTATATTATGGTATTTTATGGTATATTAGGGGCTATATTGGGGTCATATTGGGATGAAGGAAAATACAATGGAGACTACTATTTAGGGTTTAGGGTTTAGGGACCCCTGATTAATAAAACCCCCTTCCTTTTAAGGGCCTAAATATTAGGATCCTTATTCTAATCCCTAGTAAGGGGAGGGGGTTTGTTAATCAGGTGTCTGGGTTATTGATTAATGTGCCCAAGCTTACTTGTTCTTAGCAGGGGCTATGGGAAACTGTTATATAGCCATCACATAAGGATCAGATTCCCTTGTTTCCTGCTAAGAACCAGTAAGGAGACTACTGTAACTGCTGAGTTGCAGTGGAAATAGTGTGGTGCAAGATTTCTTCCATCCACAGAAAGTTTCTTAGGATTTCAGGGTTTTGGGCTCTTGTAAGGGGCTCAACGTTAGGGGTAGAAGGTTTGGGTTCACTAGTGTATGGGTTTCCTCATTTTGGGAACAGGCGTTTTGAGCAACTGACAGTCTAAGCTCCAAGTATCCCCTTAATATACCCTATAATACTCCCATGTGTAGTCCCCTACATAACCCCCTTTAATCAGTTTAGACCTAAACCCTAAACCCAATATAATATAACCCCCTTTAAGGAGTGTAGACCCTAAACCCTAACTCCTATGTAACCCTCTTTAAAGACTGTAGACTCTAGCTCACATCAGGTCCAGCAGCACGTGAAGCAGCGCGCAGGGGGCACAGCTCCGAAACACTGTTCGGAGGGTCCTCATCAGCACTTCAAGGGCCTGTAGTCCCTCTTAAGTAGATAGAATATGGGGTATATACGGATCTTATTATAATATACCCAAAGCCATATTCTAGCTACTTCAGAGGGAGTATAGGGTTTGGGGGTTTGAGGGTTTAGGACGATTTAGGGTTTAAGGATGCTTCAGACCTTTAAGCTAGATGGATTCCATACCCTAAGCCCCAGTATGGTCCCAGGCTCCATTTCATTTTTTTTATTCTTTTCCATGACGGATTTCAGGGGGCAGGATTCCAAATGATGTCTTCGTGGAATCTTGAGGGACTGTGTCAGTTTGTGCATGTGCTGAAGATTCCTGTGGTGAAGTGCCTTCTGCTCTGGAGTGCGGCTGTTTCTGCACTACGTGTACATGGAATTGCTCGCTGCGTGCTGATTCGAACCTGGTCTTCCGGCTCAAACAGAGCAAGTCGACTAAGTTTTGCCATAGGGAAGCTCAGAAAGCAGTGCACCCTTGCCATCATGGCCGAAACGTTTGCCTTCAATGCTGATATTCAGCAGCTCGCTTGGACAGTGTACTTGACTACGACTGGTTCACAAAGAGTTTGGGCGTTCATGCGGCTGGTCACGGTTTTAGATACCTGAGCTCTCTTTGCAAGCGAAACTCAGG